AGAGACAGTGCCCGGGTCAGCCATGTCCTAGAAGCAAGCTGAGGACATCCCACAGACAGGGGCTTTAGTTCTCAGTCAGCAGGCTGGGTGGGCTAGCAGGTGTAAGTCTACTGCATGTCCCACGGCAGGAAGGGCAAGCTTTGAAAACGGACCAGAAAGCAAGAATCCTCCTGCCACTAACTCAACTCTCAGGTGCACCTGCTTGCTCAGGTAGAAGATCATCTCTGAGGAACAGGCCCGGCCCACCCACGCCTCCAGCAGACCCCCAAAGACCTCAAGGGTGCTATGGAAATGAGTACCTATTGGCAGATCCCAGGCCCCAGGAAAGTTTGCCTTGCTCCCCCTGGTCAACTCTCCAGTTCTTGGATTGTGGGTCATCCAAATGCCTGACAACCAAAAGCTATCCTGGGTCCCTCTTCAAATCTGTGAGTAAAAATACACATGGCATAAAAGAAGCGCCAGAGAAACACTGGGTACGTTCCTGAAACTGGCCAGTCGGTACCACCATCCAGTTTCAGAACATTTCTGTCACCCCAACAGGACATCCATCCACTCCCTTGGGTCCTTCTAACAATGTCGCAAAAGCAAAGCAACAGAGGGACAAGAAGAGGTCACATATTCCTACAACTAAGCCAAAAAAAAAAAAAAAAAATCACTGGAGACTTCCAAGGGACTCCAAAGCGTAACAGGAAGTAGCAACCTAAACCTTTAAAGATACCTGCTGTGATGTTTGAGGTTCCTGAAGACCTAACACAAACACTCACCTAATGGCATGGACCAGTAACGGTAATAATCAAGAAGCAAAAGAAAACAAGGCTTATCATGAATTCTTTTGCATTTTCTCCTTTTTTTTCCCCTGTGCTCCTGGCCCCAAGTTTTGCTAATCAAGGTCCCATATGGTGCAGAAGTCCAACCAGCTACAACCAGGCAAGATAGCCAAGAGCTACACCACCACCACCCAGAGCCTGGCCTTCACCTATCCACCCCTCCCCCAGTCTTCCCTGGCTGGCCCAGTTTTGCCTCAGGGACAGGATGCAGGAGGCAGTGGACTGGCCCGTCTGGCCAGCAGAGCAGCCCAAAAGTGCTCCAAGAGTCTCTAAATGCTGTCACCCTGCATTTAACCCCTGCCAGACTGCCTCATACTTTCCAGGACAAAAGGGGTTTTATCAGTCAGCCCTTCTCCAGGGGCAGGGGCATGACCCCGGGGCGTGCTGCCCAACAGGCCAGCAAACAGCCAGAACTGCGCCCAGAACCGGTCATCAGCAGGGCGTGGGTGTACACCAGGTGAGCCACCCTAGCCTTGAGTCATTAGGCTGGCTGGGTGGAGGGAGCTGCAGACTGTGTCCCCGGAGTTCCAGACTGTCATTTCTCACAGTGGCCTGGGGGTAAGGGGATGGGCCAGTTGGGAGCTCACTCAAGGTCATGTGGGGGTGCTGTTGCGCCTGGCGGGTCTGCCTTCCCAAAGTCTCAAAGATCAGCTCTGCACTTGGCCACAATCGTGTTGCACCCAGCAGGCCCCACTCCTCCAGCATAACCATGGCATGAACCACCTCCACGAAACCACGAGCTGTGCCAGGCAAGACACAGAAAACACCACAACAAGCACTCAGAGCCAGATTCCGAACTGCGATCACAGTCTGGGCCAGACAATAAATAATTGTTCGCATGCGGCTGAAGAACTTTCCTTCAAACAGGACGGAGCAATCTTTCCTAAGCTCCTTGGTGCGAGCCCAAGTGAACCGCGGACCTGAGCCAGGGCTACATTTTCAGATTATATAGGTATTTCTGAAGGTTCTCTCCTCTGGGGCAAAGTCAGATGCCAACAGGGATCAAAGAGGTGGAGAGAAAAACATTTCTGGGTGGATGCTGACTCAACGGCTATCCCATCTGCCACATGGGTGAACTGGAAGGCAGACCTTAACCTTAACCTTAGCAGGGTGCCCTTGGGGTACAGGTTCAGGCCCCCACCCCAAGATGCCCACAGGAGTCTTCCCGCTGCATGTCCAAGGGGCCTGTCCTTTGAAGTTGAAATAATTACAAATGGGGCCGGTCCCCAAGCCCTACCCTCACCCAGGAGGCTTCAGACAGGAACACCTCCAGGAGGAGAAGTCAGCTGGAGCAGAGGTATGCATGTGATCGATCTGGAACTCTTCCGAGGGAGTGATAGCTGCCCACCACGCCTCTCCCCTCATCCCCCCAGCACCCTGCAGAACTTCCCAACTACATGAGGCGGAGGTGTGCACCCTTTAACAAAGGCTGCCAAAACCGCATGTGGGAACCCATAGCCAAGATCATCCCCCAGGGCCCGTATCCAAACACGCACCCACACCCAGAGGGACTGCCCTGCCAGCCACAGATCCTACCCACAGCAGAGGCCCCTTGCCCATCGCAAAGCAGGCATCTGTGTGCTGGTGTGTCTGTCTGTGGCATGCGCGCACACACACACACATACACACATGCCCGCACCAAGCCATCCATCTGTCTCAGAGAGAGCCGGCTGTCAGAAACGAAAGTACTATCTCCTGGAAACAAGTCGCTGTCTTCTAAAAATGTCCCGTTTTTCCCAGACCGAGACAACTTGCAGGGGTGGGGTGTGCTTCCGTGGCAGGTCCCCCGAGAACCGGCCCTGCCGCTGCTCTCTCTCGTTCCCCACTCCTAGGACCGGGCTGGGAGGGCGGAATTCCAACCTGCGGCCAGTGCTGCTCCCAGTCCCAGGGTTCCCAACGCCCCCACGCCCCTTCCTCTGGGCAGCTCCTTAGGGTGCAGGAAAGGGAGGGGCCAGCCTCAGAGTCACCCCTGCATTTCAGGAGAGCCTTTGAGCTCTCCCTACCCCCCACCTCCGAGGCATGGCGTTTTCACATTCGCCTGCTTTTTCTTTCCCTTCTTCCCTTGCCAAGAGAATCAAGCCCTGGCTCCGGCTGCCGACCTTCCTCCCACCCTAAACTGAGCCCCATTCATTAAGCCCCGCTCTCAGCCAGGGCAGGACAGGAAGGAAAACAGCACATAGGGGCCTGTGAAAGAGACTAGAGAGGTGACTGAAACCCGCAGGAAGGGAAAAGCCCAGGCCGGCACCCTGCCCCTCAACCCCCTTGCCCTGCATAGGGCTATGCTAACCCCTTCCCCTAAGGGCTCTTGGGTCTGCAGCCACCCAAGCCCCAGGGGGCTTCTCCTTGGGGTGCATCATGGCTCTGCACCCATGGGTTCATCACCCTCTCCAGAAAGGGGGGAAGTGGAGGGGGAGATTTGGAGATTCCCCAAGACCCTAACCAATACAATCACCTTTGGGGGAAGCAGTCTTGCCACAAGAGGAGAACCCCAGCTTTGCTCAGAGTGCATTAACTTCCCTGCAGACACCGCCAAACCAGGGCCATCTCCAGCCCCACCAAAAAAGTCTCTGTGACCTACCCTTCCCACCCCCGCATGGTGGCACATGATTAATTCACCACTCTAACTACCCAGGGAAAAGAAGAAAAGAGATGAAACTTTGAAGCCTTGGAAATGAGTAAATCAAGAGCTAAAACTCAAAACAAATGCTCTTTCATGTGCAGCCCTCCCCTGTTCTCTCTCTGCAGATCTTCAGAGTCCTGAGCCATCCGGCCATCCATCAGACACTCACTGGCTCGCCCGCCTGCCTTACCGGCTCCTTTCACATGAGCCATGGCGGCGATGGCAGGGGCAGGGCGTCACTGATGGCTGCTCTACCCCCAACTTCTTTCCAGGACCAAGGGAGCTCTCAGAGGCCGAGCTCAGGGTCACTGGCTGGCTTGGCGCTAGGCAGGCAGGCGCTAGGGCTGGTGGCGGGGCCTGGTGTCGTCATTTCCTCTGGCCCCAGGAGACAGACAAGATGTTATCAATAAGACAAACCTTCTGAAAAGCCCCTTTCAAAAGTTACCACTTCCCTTGCTTATTTCATGTGGTTTGCAGGGGCTGGGCTCCTCCCTGGGCAAGCATTGGACAACATCCTGAGGGTGTTGCTCAGCAAGGACCCTCGCCTCCCTTGTCCTTTCAAAGAAGTGGCTCAGCCTTAGAAAGCAGAGGCTCTCAGCCACCCATTTCTGCAGCAAGTGCTGTTCCTGCTACATTACACACTGCCCTCCACCCCAGTCCATGCCCACCCTCAGACCTGAAGCCCCCACTCCACTCAGAATCTTTTTTTTTTTCCCTTTTTCCTAGTTCTCATTAGAAGCCTTGGGCAACCACGAGACTACACAATGAACTAAAATAAAAACCAATAAAGGGTGCCCATCAGACACACACACGCTGAGGACGCCTGACCAATGCACCTGACAGAGGACACACAGCCGCCCACAGGGTGGGTTCCTCAAATGTGCCTTATTCAACCCCATAACCTTCCAGCACCTATTACTGACAGCACACCCCAACCCTGCTGCTCCTGACCCCACACTTGGAAGTGCAAAACCTTACATTCTTCTAGGACTTACAAGGAAATCTGCTCCGAAATTCCATCCTTCCCTGTCCCTGCCCATCTGCCCATTGACACATCTGTCTGTCGTCTGGCCATCACATCCCCTCACCCTCTTACGCTCTGTCTTCAACTAGTTTCCCTAAAGACGGGTTCATCCCCTCCAGTGCCCCTGTGCATGAACAGAAGGGCACCAGAGGCAGCTTATTAAACGCATGGCTCTATGACCCCCAGATCCGCAAGCGGAAGTCCCCTGAGCCAGGAGCGACTTAAAAATAACCACAAACCACTTGACCCGCAAAACCAACCCCTCCTCCCGCCACTGCTGGCGCCATCAGCTCCTGGTGCTTGGAAAAGACCTAGGATCCTGGTGTACACAGAACCGTGGGAGAGCCAGCTGGGTCATCGCAGAGCCACCACACACACGTTCAATGTTAAGACACACCCCCCCCAAAAAGCCTGCAGCCCAGCCAGGGTGGCCAACAGCCAGTCCCCATGGTCCATGGTCCACCCCCCATCCGTCCTCCATTTCAACAAACCTTGGATTTGCCAGAAAAAGAAAGAAAACACTTCTTACCTGAAAGCCCCCCAGGGGCCAGATAATTCGTTCCCCCTGTTTCAGTGGAGGAAGGCACAGCATCTGGACAGTCTGCTGTGGATTCAAAAAGAGAGACAAATAAATGAATACATCAAGCACTCAGACTGCTTCTTTAAGCACCAAGAGCGGGCAAGAGAGACCCCCCCAATCCTGCAGGCTCCATGCAGACAGCCGCACCATGCAGACAGCCGCACAGCACCTGGGGCAGCCAGTTAATCATTAGTCCAGCCAGGCTGCCCTTTCCCTCTTACAAGGCCCCCATTGAGGAACTCAGGTAGTTTTCAAGGTCAAGGAAGTGTGCCTTGTACTTTCTGCACCCTGGCTACTCTGCCTTTGCAGGGCAGAGGCCGAACTTCCTTATCTCCCTGCTCTTTGATGAGAGTCTTGGTAAAGACAGGTCCTCAAGTCTCCAGGTCTTAAGTCTCCTTGCTGATTGAGGGCTAACCCGAGTCTAATAAGAACCACTGAGCTCCGGGAGACACCAGGCATCCTACACACGCATGCACCTGTGTAACCAGCACCAGGTCAAGCCCTTCGTGGCTAGGCAGCCAACCAGAAGAAATATGTTCTACCTCCCTCCAGGCTGGGTGCAAACCCCTGCCACCACCAGTACACACCGCTGTGGAAGCCTTCCCTGGCAACCCCAGATTTGCAAGGCTCCTACAAAATCCTGCCATCACCCAGCACTTGGGGGTTCTGCTTCTGTTTCCTCTGCCGCCCTTCACCTGCAGGGGCTGTCAGCCCTTGCCCCTAAGCTGCTCTTCTGTCCTCAGGTGCTCAGCACCTGTGACCAACATAATGCCCAGGAACCAAGACCAATGAGTCACACAACACAAATACACAAGACTCCCCTGGTCACTGCCAAGCTTGCTCAAGTCCGATCAAGCAGACAGCCCTTCTAGCTCTGTGCAAACATAACAGCTTGGTTCATGCAGCCTCTGGGGTGTCCTCCCACAGGGAAGGGAGAGGGCGGGGGGGGGGGGGGGAGGACAGCAGGACGATGCCCCTGGGGTGCAGGGTGCACTTCTAACTTCACCTGCAGCCCCTTGAGCAACCAGGGTAATCAGGAACCAAGAGCGATGTCAAGTGGTGGCAAGTAGCCCATAGGAGCTTTGCAGTGGCCTGAAGTTGCCTTCAAGGACTGATTCAAGGTGGGTAAGGGCTAGGCTTAACCTACTCAAACCCTCAAGCCCTCTCGGGGTGTCTGTTGCCCCCTTGAATGTGGCAGTGTTCCCTCTAATCAGAGGAAGTACCTTCATCTACCAACACCGTCTTCCCCAGCTGAAAGAGTAACTTTTCATCAACTCCCTGGCACAGGGAAGGGGCAGGCGGGGGAGTGGTGGCAGCAGACAGGGCAGCGAGCAAGAAGCCTGTGTGTAATCTCATTTTGTCAGGGTAAAGTATAATTCCTAACAGGAATATACAGTTTTACAGGATGCACTTAATCAAAGGGAAACAATAGCGGGAGGCAGGAAATGGAGTTATTTGTTCAATTTGGGATCCTCTCCTCCACCTCCTCTCCCTTACCTCGCCCCCACACACAACCTTAAACACCGCAGTCACGCCCCTCCCCCGGCTCTGCCTGGCAGAATGCCAGGGGCAAGGTGTGTTTCAAAGGAGAAAGAAGCCTGGCATCTTGGGGCAGAAACGGGGTGGGGACCACAGTCGGGGTGTCAGTCCTCCTCACATCAAAGCAGTAGCAACCACAAGCTTTTTTTATGAAATGCTCTCTGCCCCTCTGCCGGGGCCTTTGATCTCCCGAGGGATTTACAAATGCCAATTACCAGCCCCTGGGAAGCAACTGCCTACCGCTCAGCCTGTGCCAGGTAAACTGAGGCCTTGCTGGCTGCTGGGCTCCGAGGGCCACCCAGGGAGCCAGGCTGTCCCCAGGGGCTGGGTCTTACCCTCTCCCCACATCAGGCAGCCTCCCACATCTACATGGGCTCCACCCGTTGCCTAGCGGGGGAATGGGTCCATAGGTCTATCTGTCAGAATCAGGGTCTTGCTCCCCAAGGCCCAGGCTGGCACATGGCCAGCCAGAAGCTCCAGACTGGTTCTGGCTGTCATCCACCACTCAGAATACCAAGCACCCACAAGAGCAGTAAGTGCAGTGGGCGATTAGCTCTGCCTTCCAGTCTGAAATCCCAGCCTGGGGAGAAGACAGGAGCTACCGAAGATGGGTGACTAGGAGAGGAAGTCCTGCTCAACTTCTCTCACCCAGCAAATTTCTCCTGGCCAGCCCAAACAGTATCAGCAACTTCCTTCTGCACTCCCTGAGCACTGCCCAGGAGAGAGAGCCTCAGAGCCCCCAACCAAGACCCCAAAGACCCTGTCCCTCACCACTCAGCCTGAAGCGGGGCTCACCCAACCCTTGATGAACCCAAAGGTGTTTTTAGGCCAATACATCATCACACCTGTAGAATGAATGAATGAACCAATAAACAACGAAGGAATCATCCGACTCTTTCATCGCCTGGATTGAAAAACAGGCCTGGCGGGTAAGACGCCTGTATCCTGGCTCGCAGTGCGTGGGTTCAATAACCAGCTCCGTTCCTGAGACTGCAAGGCAGGTCTGGGGTAGGGGCTCACCCAATGGGAGATCCAGGTCTGAGGGATGTTGAGCCAGCAGAGGAGAGCTAAGTAAATTCCTGAAAATATATGTGTCTTAAAGGTCCAGAAAAGCTCAGAAAGACAGAACAGACCAAGAGCAGCAAGCCAGACTCCCTCACAAGGCCCCTGAGCGGTGGGCCAGCAGGGTCCCTCAGCAGCCCAGGCTCCAACAGCTTACCCAGCAACCCCTCGTCAAGCCTTCCAGGGAAGCAGCACCCACACGGAAGCCCCTGCCCTGGCCAGCAGCCCCACTCCACCAAGGGACATCTGGCTTCCAACAGCAAACTGACCTCTCATGTCCTGAGCCACAGGCCACAGCCCCGGGTCCCACGCTCGATCCTGCCCAGCCATCCCTCAACAGAGGCTCCTGGGCTACTACTACAGGGGGACTGCGCAATACCCACATGAACCCAGCCCAGGCCCTCCCTGAGGTCACGAGGAGACAGTTTCAACCACAGCCAAGCTGAGCTCCCAGTGTTTCCACCCTCAAGTGCTACCTCTTCCGAAACTGAAGACTTCGCAGAAGAGACTATCTCAGTGTGCACGAGGCTCAGACTCCACACCAGCTGTCCCAAATCCTCACGCTCGTTTCACCTCCTCACCAAGTAACCCAAGACACAAAATACAACCCAGCGCTTAGGAACTTAAGGATGTAAGTAAGTGGCTGATGGAAATTCCCAGGTCCAACCCTCTCCCCTGTAAGGTGAGGTCACAAACCTGGGGTAGCACACCCCTCCCCTCTGTGTCTGACCTCGCTGCCACCTGCCTGCCTGCAGAACCAGCTCCCCACCCCTCGCCCCCAGGGACAGCCCCTGCAGCCCCAGATCTGGCTATGGGGTGCCCAAGCTCAGACCATTCCTTCGGTTGTGGGGGGAGGAGCTTTATCGCCAGCCTTCTGCTTACACCACAGCACCTTTCCTCCATCCTTTACTTTTGTTTTGCTCTTCACAAGACACAAGATGTGGGTGAGTAAGCAGCTGCATGAGGTTCAGGCCGGCAGGTTAATCGCTTCCTATTGGCGGATCAGGGCACTTCTCCCCTACCCCCACCCCTGGAAATGGCACATTCCTGTCTTTGTGGCTTCTCTGTTTACACACATTTTGCTACCTAATGTCAACACTTGCTAATGAATAAATATATCACTGTGCCGCTCACTGAAAATGAGGTCCCTGCCTGGCAGAATGACTGCTCCAAACAGTAAACCCGAGAGAACGTGGGCCCACTTTTTTTTCTAGTGCTTTGTAAAGTTTTTAAGAACACTTCCTGGGAAGAGGGGTGGTCTGTATCCCTTGGGGTCAAGGCCACAGTCCTTCCTGCCTTCTAAGAGAAACTTTCAAATAGGAATAGGCAACAGGGAGGATGGGGGAGGGGAGAAGCAAAAACCTTGGGGAAACCTGACTTCTCCCAGGGCTTGAAGAGCTGTGTCGTGCCAGTTAGGGTTTGTTGCAAATACAGAGAGTTGGCTATCTCATTAATGACCATTTATCTAGTGTTTTGTAAATCGAAAGCAAAATATCACATGCTTCGCAGCCCCTTATTAGACAGGCACCAGGCAGGCAGGAACGCCTCTCGGCTGCAGAAGCTGGTGCAGTCCCAGGAGGGCTGGCTCCCGAGCACGGGGCTTCGGTTACACGTTCATTAAAGTATTTAATTTATGACAACGCCCCGGCAAAACTTTTAATTAGTGGGAGGGGGGAGGAGGGAGGACTACGGTCCAACAGCCAAAAATCATGAGGCAGAAAGACTTGAAGAATTCCAGGAGCTAAATGGCGCCCAGCCCTCCCCGCTTCCCTCTCCAGAACCTTGGCAAAATAAAAAATGCCACAAGTTGGTGCCAGTGTATGGGCACAGAACCCAAAGTCACAATCTGTACTTCCAGCAGGTGACTCTCCTACTGGAAGTAGGGGCTGTGGGACACCAGCTAATCTCTGGGGTCACCCCCAGATTGATTCGGTAGACCCCATCTGCCCACTGGCACTACACACTATGGGAGGGTCCCACCTTTTCTGCCAGCCAGAAGAGGAAGGCACAGGAGGCCACAGAGCTGGTGCCAGCCTCCAGGGGCTTCTGTCCAACCCCTCCCCTGCCCCCCAGCCATACAATGACAAAGCAGCAGGTAGAGAGAGGTATGCTAAACACTTTTATAGCCCAACCAAGAACTCCCCTGCAGAACACCCTGGGAGGGAGGCAGGAAGGACCAACTCCCTTGTTGCTTCTAGAACCACTTTAAAATGTTCCAAGGGACAGTCCTTCCTCTGCCTTCAAACCAGCCCAATCCCAAAGTCCCTGGGTTTGCCCACTAGTCTGTCTTGTTCAGCCAAGGCACTTCATTGTGGTTGCAAACATCCACGTGTTAGAACACAACCACCTTCAGCCGCAGACAGCGTGTCCCTAAACAGGGAACCGAATGCAAAGCTGATGTGCGAGATGTATTTACACAAAAAGAAACACACACTCCCACAGTCCAATATCAGAAACCTACATGCAACTTGAGGGGGGACGGTGGAAGCCCAGCACCTCCCCAAAGCGGCTCTGGGACACAGACAACTGGTTCTAGGAGCTGGGCTTCTAAACAGGGGATCTAGGAAGAGGCTTCTCAAAAAGCCATCTACTCACCACTTGGTTTGAGAAAATCCATCGGGTATCTGGAGTAAGGAGGCGGGGGAGACTCTGGAATTTAAAAAGGAGAAAATAAAGGCCGGGCGGTGAGAGAGATAGAAACTTACGATAACAGAGGCATTCTTTGGGCCCCACTGTTTGTCTTAGCTGTGGGGGTTGGAGGCAGGGCCGCGAGGCGGTGATTGCCTTGATATTTAGCTGTCAGATAAACAAAAGAGGCCGCCTGGCGCCAGCCTCGCCGCTCCGCTCCTCCGCCGTCTGTGGCTGCCGCCGCCGCTCTCAGCGGGCCCGGCCTGAAGCCACTGGCTCTCGGCTCGGCCGCGGCTCGGCCGGGGCCGTGCACTTACTTGGCAGCTCCCCACGCGGGGGAGGGCGACGGCCGAGCCCCCTCCCAACAACCTGAACCCCTAGATCTCCCGTCACTGTCCCCGCAAGGGACATGCGGGACTGCCCCACAACCCTGCCCCGATACACACAAACACACGCAGCCCACCGGGGGCGGGAAAGAGGCGCATCCCTAGTGCGCTGGGTGGACCAGGGCAGAAGGAGGTGGGGGGGTTCACCTGGACTCCGATCCAGGAGATGCTGAAAAGTGAGGTGAACAGAGCATACTAGCAGGGCAAAAGGGACGGGGCTCATGGAGGGCTCCTCTAGAGCAGAGGGTAGAGACCGCTGGGGCCGCAGCTCAGTTTTGCGTGCTTACTCCCTAGTTCCCCAACTCCAAAGCCAGAGCAGCACCTGAGCCACCGCACCGAGCTCCGCACTGCCCGAAGCAGAAGAGCCCTTGCAACTCACTCCTCTAGGCCTTCCTTGGCGGGCTTGGCACGCGTCCAACTCGGCCACACACCTCAACGTCTTGCCGGGTGCGGGAGTGTGTGACAACCCCCCCCCCCCGCCAAATCCTCTGCGCAGGAAGTGAGGACCAAACGCCCAGATTCCTGAGGAGCGGCCCCAGGTCCCCCTTAGAATGGGAAAGGAACGTCGCCATCACCCTCAGGGAAAGCCCTTGAAGCCTGCCCGGGGACCCCAGGAGGGGCGCGCACAAACCCAGCCCCAAGTGGTAGCAACACGCACACGGCCCGCGAGGGCCAGCCTCCCCTCATCACCGCCCGCGCGCGGGCTGGGGCAGCTCCTCACCTAGTTCGCAGAGTCGGCTAAGGTGATGGGGGTTGCAGCACACCAGCTCGGGGTTGATCTTCCCGTAAGATTCACAGCAACACAGCCTCTTGACTTCCGAGGAATGCCTGAGATCCGGCCACCTGAACACTTTGCACAGCAGGAGGGGGAGCGAGTAGGACGTGGAAGGCTGCGCGGTTTGCGCACCGCCGGGTGCTCCCGGGCCCAGCCTGCAGTCCAGGCGGCCGGGCAGCAGGAGGCACGCGGTCCGCGTACCGCCCCGGGACTCCACGGCCTGGAGCAGCAGCTCCAGCTGCCGCTCCTTCAGTTTCTTGAGCACCGAGTGCGTGAGCGCTTTCAGGTCCGCCTCGGCGCCCCCGGCCGTCCCGGCGCCCGCGGCTGGGGGGTGAGGATGATGGTGACCTTTGGCACCTCGAACTGCCTTACCCAGGCAGCAACCAGCCCTGCCCGCGCCGCTGCCGCCACCGGCTCCATGCGCCCGTCCGTCCGTCGCCCCTTCTCCCCGCAGCTCGCCGCCTCCCCCTGCACCCTCCTCCTCGTCCTCTCCGCCGGGCGCACGGCTCCTCCAGAGACGCCGGACGAGCGCAGATCGTTTGGTCCTGAACATGCGGGGCGAGGAGGCGAGGAGAAAAGTCGTTTGCCGGCTAAGGAGCGAACATGACCTCCGCACACCATGAAGAAGTCGGGCGCCGAGTTGAGGCAGCAGACGCAATCGACAGCAGCAACAGCAGGGGCCCGGGCAGGAGCGGCGGCGGCCCGAGGGGCGCTCCGTGGCATGCGCCAGTCTCCCGGAGGCCGGGGCGCGCGCGGGGGCCCGGGGGCGCCCGCCGGGGCTCGGGGGCCTGCGTTCCGGCTGCCCCACCCCGCGCGGCCCGCGCCCTGCGCGGCTCTCGGGCCCCGGCGCGCCCCGGAGGGACGCGGCCGCCGCTGCCCTGGGGGCGGCCGAGCCTGCCCCCGCCGGTGCCTCCCCAGAAAGAGGCCCCCCCGCGGCGGCTCCCGAGGGTCGGGCTCGCCAGCCTCGGCTTCCTACATGGAAGACCCGCGGGGGCAGAAAATGAAGACCGCCCGGCGAGGCCGCCGCCGGAGGGAAAGACAAGCCTCTTTCCCCCTTGCTAAGCAACTTAATTTGGGGGTGGGGAGAAGCAGGCAATTAAAAAAAAAAAAGCAGGCACGCGATTTATTTTTTTCCTCTATATCCTTAGTAACCGGATCTCCTCAAATTCCGTGCACACGAAGACTCGGGGGAGGGGGCTGCGCGGACTTCACCCCGCATGAGACGTCTGGCCAGACGAAGAGGGTTGTCTCCAAAGCCGAGATATGCAAAAGCCCCCGATGCAAACCACCACCACCTCGGACGTCGGCGAGCCGGGGCTTCAAAAACAGAAAATGTTTACAAAAGTAGCACAAGACGTTTGAGGGGTGGAAAGACGCATCCACGAGTTACACGTCCCCTGCTTCCCTTTCCGAGCCTTTCTGGTCTTCGACTCCTTTTCTTCTGCCCACATACACGCACAAAAAATAGCGTATATATATTTTTTAATCCACAGAAAGGTTCGGTTAGGCAGCTTCAATCCTGCGCATCCGGGTGTCTCACGGGACTCTCTGGTCTTTCCTCCTGCGCTCCCTGGGGCCCAGGTCCTCGGCGGGGACTTCCTCGGGGGTGGCGGGGGCGCAGGGGCAGAAGATGCTGCTGCGGCGTCGGCGGCTGCGCCCGGCGGGGCTGACAGCGCGGGGGAGGGCGGCGCGGCTGCAACCGCGGGCCCCCGGCGGGTCGCGCGCTCTCGCTTCCCTCCTCCGGGGCACAAGCTGCTGGCTAGCGCGGGGGCCGCTGGTGCCCCCTCGCTTGGCCGTGGCTGATCGCCGGGGCTCCCCGCATGGGCTGCTCGCCCCGGCCCGGCTGCGGCGACTGGAGGCCCCGGTGTTCTCTCGCCGCCGCCTCCTCCGAGACTCTCCTGGTCGCGCCCGGGAGCCTCCTCGTCCCCCGTCCGCCCTCTCCTGGCGCTCAGGTCTTGCCGCCGCCGCCTCCTCCGGGGGCTGGCCGCCTCGCGCTCAGGGGGCTCCGGGGCCGGCCGCTCGGCCGTTCGGCGCCGGCGGGCTGGCTCCGTCTCAGGCAGCTCTCTCCGGCGCGCCTCCCGGACCGAGCGCGGCGCCCGGCTGGCTCGGCTGGCACGGCTCGGGGACAGGATCCTCCGGGCGCCGAGCAGCAAGCGAGTGTGCCCGGGGCTCGCCGCCTCCCGCAAGGCCTCCCGCCCCCGCCCCCTTCCCTCCCCCTTCCCTCCCCCGCCCCAGCGCCGCCGCCTCCCCGCCCCCCTCCCCCCCGGCCCTCGGCTCGGCTGTTCCACTGCGCAGTGGCGCGCCCGGCTCCGGCCTCGTCACGTGGCCGTCTAGACACCCTGTCGCTTTAAAAAAAAAAAAAAAGCGATTGTGTTTCGCAAACAACAGATCGGGTTTCTAAAAGCTATTTCTCCCCCCCCCACACACACACACATACACACACACCCCAACCTCCACCTCACCCCCGCCACTGCCACCCCTTCCTGGACCTGCAGGAGTAGGGGGGAAACCAACGTGGGGGGACTAGGAGAAGGGGTGGGGGGGTCAGGGAGGAAGGGGACAGAGGCGCTCCCAGGATCGACCGAAGCCGGGCAGAGGCAGTGGAGACGGTGGAGGTGCCGGGAGAGTGAGCTGGCTCCGCCAGTAAGTTTGGGAGGCGCCACGAGCGGGTCGGGGAGCCCGGGACCTGAGCCCCGCGGGGCTGCGCCGTGGCCGTCTCCGCGCGCGCTCGCGCTCCATTCATTCGTTTTGTCTCCCCCGGGCCGCGCCGGAGGAAAAGAGGAGGAGAGCACTGTCTCTTGTTTTAAACGACATTTACACCGGACTGGACCGGGGCCCTGGGAAGTGTGCGCTGGAAGGAACAGCCGAGCCGCCGAGGAGGGCGGGGAGGCGGCGCGAATGTGACCTCAGCGGCCGCCGCGCGCCGCCTCCCCGCCCTCGCCCGCTCCGGGCTCCGGTTTCTAGGACTGCCTGGAGAAGTGTGTCTTGTCCAGAGCTCTGGAATGCATTTGGCCGGCTGACGCGCAGCGAGGGGGCAAGCATCCCGGCGGGAGAAGCGGGGCGGGGGCGGGGGCTCGCCTGCGCGCCGCCCGCAGGTTTCCTCCCGGCCCGGAAGACCTCGGCCACCCCTACCACCACCATCCACCACCACCACCAGCGTCTCCGCCCCGCGCGGGAAGGTTATCCCCGGCGAGTCGATCGGCCTGGAGCGTGCATTTGCACTCCGAGCCAGTCTCCGGACGCCCTCCTCGGCCTTCTAGCCCTCCGAGTGTGTAGGATCCGAGTTTTCCTGAAACCCACATTCCCAGAAACACAGCGTGCTGGAAGGTGACTGCACAGCATTTAGGGGCGGAAGACGCGAATGTCACTAGTTGGCATGGTGATCTAACTTCCCACCTTATTCACCAGAATCGCGTGTTTTAATCATTGCTGTGACGTCAGCACCGCAATGAAGCTCGCTGAGGGGTCTTAAAGGGTCTCAGAGAAGGTGATTAATGGATTCTGTTTTCATCTCCCCAACTAGGTTGTGTTTTCTTGAAAGGAACAGTCAAAAATGAAGCTTACACACATTGGTCATTCAACACCACCCAGCTCCCCTCCAGCAATCCAAAAAAGTTGCAACAACTGTTTAATATTCAACAGTCAATTCCAGTCGTTGGAGCATGGAGTTGAACCTCTATGTGCAACCCCTGCATCCTATAGGAACACCCCTGGGAGTCCCAGCTACTTCACTTCCCATCCAGCTCCCTGCTAATGTTCCTGTGCTTGGGCCCCTGTACCCAGGAGGCAGAGGGCAATCCTGACTCCTGGCTTCCACCTGACCCAGTCCTTAGCTGCTGCCATTTAGCAAATGAACCACTTTGGTCAGGTGTGTGTATGTCCCTCTCTTTGTAACCACCTTTCCAATAAATAAATACTTTTAAAAAACATACTTGGGATGTTGACTGCATTTGGACCAGTCCCGTGGTATGAACGTGACAGTGGGGGTACACTCATCTCCAGCAGCGGCTGTGAAGTGCAGCTGCCGTCATTAGGACTGTCACAATACTGCAACAAGCTTCATTTTGTCCTTAGTTAAAAGGGATGGAATTGGGATTGTCACTTGAGAAGATCTTAGAAGACGGGACACTGGATGCCAGGCACAGGCTGGGCTACTCACTACATCCACGCCTGTGAGTGCCTGCAAGGCGTTGGAACCTTTATGGGCACACTTCTTACCATGTCACCCTGGAAAGGGGCCACCATTTTGGGGATGCCAAGGCCAGGCTGCCAAATGACAAGAAAGACTCAAACCAAAGGGCTAAGGTCCCAAGCCCCTTCCGGAAGGCTCCCGGGCCACCTCGTGGAGCCATCTGCAACACCTCGGGCAGCCTGGCCCTGGGGGAGGGGCTGACGCGGTGACGCGGCACCCACAGGCAGGTTCAGTGAGTGGCTCGCCTCTGAGGTCGACCAGTGGGGCATGCGCGCGCTTGCAGGGCCTTGCTCCCATTCCGTGTAATTGAGGGTGTTTTAACTCAGGCGTCACCCCTGTTTTGTCCTCTCCACGCGGCTTTCCTTCTCATTTGACTGGCCCCCACCCCCTCAAGGCCCCATAAGAGTGGGTAGGATGCAGGGCAAGTAGCTACAGCGGCTGGTGTTGCTTTATGGGTGCCTGGCATCCCCTGATTCAGTTTACATCCCAACCCTCCTGACTGGCTGCTCCACCCGCCGTTTTGACTCCTTTCCTTTCGAAGAAAGAAGCCAGAAGTTGGGCGGATGCTGGAGAACTCTTGGCTGGCCTGTGGGCCCAGGAGAAAGGCGTTCCTTTCTATCTTCTACTGGCACAAAGGAGATCAACAATGTGCCCATGGTCTCACTGTTCTGATACTTACTTATATTTTAAAAAAAATTTATTTTTTTTAACAAAACAGCAACTGTTGAGTTCACCAAACTATTGTGAATGAGCTTGATTCTAATCATTTTGCTGGCAAGGAATATGGAATAACATATCTCATTTGCAGTTGTTTATTTCCTGTTGTGGCTTCTATTTTCATCATTCAGTCACTTTGGTGATAGTAATCAAAACCTCATCACGGTGCAGCCACAAGTCACAGAGACCAAAATAACTTGCAGCAGAGTCCTGACCAACAGGGAGTCAGTTCAAGACCTGACTACCTATCCTTGGTCCCTCACACCCAGAGGCCTGTGCAGGCGGCCCCTGCCCTAGAACAGCAAGGAGCAAGTGCCCCAGAAGCAGGTGAATCTGTCACACCTGCTGGGGGGGGAGGCAGAGCAGGAGGTGGGCAGAAGGGCCTGATCTTGAAAGGACATGTCCAGCACAGGTTATCCGCACTCAGCTCTGAGCAAACATGCCTAGTTGGGGGAGGTGGGCTTCTGCCTTTCGCCTCTTCTCTCATGGTCAGTGCTTCTGAGAAGAGAAAGCCAGAGAGAGTTCCAAGGTGTGGGGTCTTGGGGAGGGGGGTTGCTGTGGGTGGGGTTGCAGAGCAAGGGTGAGGCAGGGATGAAGAATCTTTTTTTTTTTTTTTTTTACTTGTGGAAGCCAAAAGCAGAAACCACGGATGAAGCCAAAATATCTCTTGCACAATGGTCGCCTGAAAAAAAATGTATGAGTGAGCCTGGGAGCATGGTTCTCTGGCAGGCACAGAGGGGAGGGATGGGTTACGAAAGGCAGGCAGCAGGAGTAAGGCCAATGTGACAATGAGCACTTCTTGGCTTCCCTGGAAGACCAGGAACGTAAGTGAATGAACATGCATCTAATTCACAATCAAAGGAAGAT